GCCAGGTACCACAACAGCAACAGAACTTTGCTGTTTTTTGGATAGTATTCTTTTCTTTGTTTTTTTGTTTTTTTGTTTTTTTTTAATGGAATGTGCTGAATGTCTATAATTTTGTTCAGATGACTGCAGAACCTGGAAAAGCTGTTGCTGCTATTGATGTATGACATACTATTATTAGTCTTTTTATATAAATATAAATACATATATATATATAAATTGAATTTTGGGAAACTTTAACGGTGCTGCCAACTTGGGAAAAAGTCATCCCTATTTACTGTGTTGAGTTGGCATTGTACAGAAATGGACAGCCATATTGGTCTAGAAATGTTAATTTATTTTTATTTTTATTTTTTTTTCCATGTGTACAGAGGTAACACATCGTACTAAATATGTAAGGTCATATCTATGTGGGTTTGATTACAGAAACTAATAAAGTATTCTCTAAATAATGAAAAAAAGAATAAGATAAGACTATAAGAGCAAGAAGGAATTTAAATATGTTCAGGGACCATTTTCATCTCCAGAATTAAGGGTTATTTTGATGTTACATCATTGCCTTTTCTCTTTTACTTTCCTTTTTAGTTTTAGGATTCCCTATTTTTAATGTTCATACAGAGATTTCTTTAACTGAAATACCGAATAGTTTCTTTGGTGCAAAAACTGTAATAGTACACAGGATCCTAATGAGGTAATTAATAATGTGAAATAGGAAGTAAAGGTCTAAAGGTGTAGGGAAAGTGGGAAGGGTGGGGGAAAGGCAATAAGGGAGAGGAAAAAATATGAGAAACTAAAAAAATGGAAATATAGTGTTTGTAAGTGGGGAGGGGAGGAGGGGGTGAAGGGAGGGCAGGGACAAGGGGAAAAAATGAGAATCAAGACCTATTATATAAAGGTATAGAATCCCAATGATGAATGTAACTGTATTGTATACCTAGATTGGACCAATAAACTCAATAAAAAATAAAAAATAAAAAAAAATTTAAAACATAAGCTAAAAAATGTGAATACTTTTGCATTCAAGGAATCGTCATACCATTGTCATCACGCAGGGCAAAGGAAATGAGGCCATTTGGCAGTGAATGGCACAGTCTACTGGAGCACCTCTTGGCCAGGCCAGGCAGAGCAAGAAAACAGGACAGGCACAGTTGCCATGGGTGCATTCGCCCTCAACAAGGCAGGAAATCCTGGCTAGGCCAGTGGCCCTGGGAGGTGCTGCACTTGGGTGGACCCTGCAGACGAAGTCATCCCTCGGCCTCACCTGTAGTGCAAGAACTTTTGGCACTTTGAAGATGGAGCTGTTTAGTGACTACAGTCCCAGAAAGATGAACAAAGTGATGGACTTAGAGTTTGACAGCCTAGATCCAAATACTGGATTCCCCCTTGGCGTCCATGGGGAAGGATCTGTCCCCTGGCCACCTGGGCATTGTGATGGTGAGGACTGGATGAGGTTTGCACAGGAGAGTGCTATGTGTCTGGGACAGTGCAGGCGGGCATATGCCAGCTGTCCTTGTCACCAGTAACCAGCAGATGGAGATTCACCATAGAACCTTATAAACAGTCTTGCTTCTGAGGGGCTCCTGTCACTGGTGCTGGCTGTTGGGTTCCCAAAGCACTTGGAAAGTGCAGAACCCTTTGTTTCACAGCTGCTATGTGACAGAGTACACATCTGTCCTCTTAGCAGGGCAGAAACGACCAGAAGAGGTGATCGTGAGGGGCTGAGTTGCTGCCTGCCTGGTCTGGGGGTCAGGGTGCATCACCTGGCATAGGGGCCTCTTTATAGCTAGCTGAACAGTAGTTTTCCTCAAGGAAATGTTTCATCCACTAGTAACAACCATTTCAACAGTTCACTCACAGCTGTCTGTCCAGTTGGTTTAGCTTCATTTGGACACATGCTATTAAAGTACGCATGTTAAGCAGGGTTCATAACAGCCCAGGGAGTTAGGGGCTTTTATCCGCTAAACTTTGAGGAATGTATGTATTTACATCTTTGATGTGCTGCACCTGGATTTGTATAGGAATTGTCAAGGCTCCATCTCATCTTGCTTAGGCTTCCCGTTAAAATTTCACAGGAGCTGAGCATTCCGTTGCTGTTGGTGTGAAACTTGGTGGGAAAAGATGTATGTGTTTATTGAAAGCCTCCCGTGAATGCCAGTCACACCGTGGGTGGTCTCACTTGGTGTAGCAAAGTGACCCAGTGTAATGATCATGCAAAGATTGTTCACTAACTAGTGCCAGAAATGGGATTTGAACCCAGGATTATCTGATACTGTATTAATTCAGGTTAGATTAGCTTCATTTGCCACGGTACCTCAAGATGAAGCACATTATCCAGCAGCTTGATTTCTTGTTCTTCTGCAGTAGAAGCCCAACACTGAGAAGGTGGTGCCAATGGTTGTTAACAACTCAGGCACTTTGTAGGTCCCCGGAGCGTGAACTCACCCTTCACATAAGGTTATGGACAGTAAGGACAAGAAAAAGGATAGCACTTCTCTAAAAAAATTTCCCCATCCCCTTCATACAATACTTCTGCCTCCATTAAAGTGGGCAGAATTTGTCACATGGTTGTTACATAGCTCCAGCTGCCTGAGAGGCTGGGCACTGGGGTATTGTAGTGAACAGCAATACACTGTATCCAGCTAGAAATCAGGGTCTTACTTTTGAGGATGTGGAAAAGTGTCAGAGGAAGACTAGCACAGACACAAACATGTTTTCCTTCTCTTTAGTTCATGAAACATCTCTCTCCTCTGTGGACTGTCCCGTGTAGGCCCCTCAGCTCTGGCTGTGATGGAAGCAACTACTCCGTGTCTCCCCTTGTGGCTCAGTTCATGACACCAACGGGGAAGCCTCCAGCATTTTCGGTCACCATTTTCCCCAGTCCTCAGCCTTCCTCAGCAGTAAGAGGGGAGGAAGCAGCAATCAGGAAGCACATCCAGCTCACACAGTTGCCTCTTTACCCTAACTCCTGAAGTTCTTGGTTTTGTTTGTTTGTCTGTTTTTTTTTTTTTTTTTTTTTTTT